AAAGGGAAAATGAGGAGGGGCAGTCCTGAGAGTGTAAGTCTCAGTTCCCACAGTTTCCACACAAGGTTATCATGAAAGGAAGGGCCTTGAAGAAGGCAGTAACTGTCACCTGGTTAGGTAAAATTAATTGGCACATCTGTGGGCTAGGGCTTACCACCAGAGCACATCCTGCGATCTAAAAGTTTTATGACCGGGAGGTCAAGAGGCTATCTCGTTCCCAGTCTTCTCAAGACAAGGGGTAGGGGCAGATGTTGGCGCAGCTGCTGGTGAGTTTGAGCTTCTGGTCGCATACTCCATGATCAGAGGGCTCTCTCTTTCTTAGTCACAGCCTAAACGTTTATGTTTTTTTAGTTATTAATTTTTCCGTCACAGCTCTGTAGACCAGACTGGCTTCAAACTCACAGAGATCTGCCTGCCTCTGCCTCCCGAGTGCTGGCATTAAAGGCGTGCACCACCACCTCCTGGCTTAATTCAGTAAAGCTTTTAAAATGGACTTACATTCAGTAAAAAATATACACGCTTACCTACTCTAACCCTGTTTCTGCTGCCCTGTCTAGAGTAACAGTAAGATCCCTTACGTAATGAGAAGTCAGACTGGATGACTCCCGAACCCACTGAGTACTAGAGATGCCTGTCTTTTTAATCAGAACATCAGAACTTGGTTTGTGCTACCTGTCACTTACAAAAACCAATAAGCAAGGACAGGAATTTAAAGTTGCACTGTGTTCATTAACCATCACCCTCTCCCATATTTTATTGAAGCGATTAGAACTCTCATTTCTTTTTAAAATGCATTACATTTTCATGTGGGATGATCACACACAGACGTCCGGTATAGCAGGGGTCGGGGGTAACAGAAGTGATAAAATGGCATTGTTAGGTGGCTGGTTAAGTATTTGGCTGGAGGACACTAGAGCTGGATTCTGTTGGATCAGGACTGATCTAGGCCAGCAGTTCTCAACTTGTGGGACACAACCCCTTTCGTAACCCTTTCATGGGAGATAGTATATCAGATATCCTGAATATTAGATATTTACATTACTATGCATAACAGTAGCAAAATTATAGTTATGAAGTAGCAACGAAAATAGTTTTATGGTTGGGGGTCAGGACAACATGGGGAGTTGTATTAAAGAGTTGTAGTATTAGGAAGGTTGAGAATCACTGCTCTAGGCAATGTGAAGATAAAAGTAAGGAGAAGTAAGGAGAGCCCCCTCACCAGAAGTGTGGGCCTCCTTTTTTTTTTTTTTTTTTTTTTTTTGAGAGAGGACAGGGTTTCTCTGTGGCTTCGGAGGCTGTCCTGGAACTTGCTTTTGTAGACCAGACTGGTCTCGAACTCACAGAGATCCACCTGCCTCTGCCTCCTGAGTGCTAGGATTAAAGCTGTGCACCACCAATGCCTTCTTTTATTAGAACAATGAAGGGCAGCAGCCTCCTCAGAAGTGGAGACTGCACCATGTTCAGGGGCCTAGCAAGCTTTATAGGACAGAACAGGCAACTTCAGAGGCAGAAGGATCTGGTGCCCTGATAAATTGACCTTGTTGGGAATTTCCCAGATCCTAGCTCCAATAGGCAGATGTGATCAGTCTGTCAGCTTCTTATCAGGAGTTTCTCAACTTGCCTTAGGCTTTTAGGTCACTAACCCTTCAGAGCCCCCCCTCATCATCAACAGCTGTAAAAACAAGGACTTGATTGGGATTGGTAAGAAGCATAGGACCTGAGCCATCTCTATGACCCTGGGAGAAGACACCGCATCCTGAACTGCATGCAAGGCCGTTAGTAAATAAATATCTAAACTTGTTTTCAGAAGATCTTTCCTGAAAGAGTTAAACCAGAAAGGCCTGTCAACCACCTGGACAGGACAAAGACCCTCAGGCAAGCTGTGTGTTCTAGAGACTTTAGAAATAGCAATAAAGTCTGCCTGAGATGCAGCCTGGAGCAGCAGTCCCTTCGGCCATTGCCCATGCATTCCTTGATGGGGTCCTCTGCTCTACACTGCAGCTTACTGTGTTCTATGAGAACACTCTAAACTGTTTCACAAGGGCTGGGAAGTTAGGGGGACTTCAGACCAAGACCCTTGGGGCTGTGTTACTGGGCGTGGTTAAGCCTCCTTCCCAACTCTCTTTCCTCATGTGGGGTTCAAAGTGAGGCAGATACATATTACTGCCCGAAACAAGACATGTCATTAGGGAAGTTAGGGCTCTCAGCCATGTTAATTAAAGAATTTTGAAGCAGACTACAAAGGGAAGCTTGAGGACAATTGAAGAGAAAAGCAGGGCAGGAATGCTGTTAACCTCAGCCAGTGCTGTGAGAAGGGAGACAGGAAAAAGGGAGAAAGCCTTACGGCTTGCAAAGGAAGCCCAGGATTCATCACACGCTTAGGTGGGGCAAGCTTTAAGAGAATGAACGACAAAGCCCAGAGTGTCAGCAAAAGCATGGAGGCAAAACTTTGGTCAGTATGCAAAAGAAAAAGAGAGAAGAAAAAAAAGGAAAATTATACTTTTTTGAGTAACTCAAAAAAATGGTGCGGGCCACACAATGGAAGCTCTGCAAGCGACCCAAGTGAGAAGGTTTCCTGAAGTCCAAGCGTGTAATCTCATTAAGGGGTAATGACCCAACCTATCTCATTACATGATGATTCACCCTTCCTGAGGAGTGGTTTCTTGGTCAGGTGACTGACAGGCCCAGCTGGACTAAATTTTAAGGTAGGAGACAATGTATGTAATGTTCTAGTTTTTGGAGCAGATCAGGATTTAACCCATTTTCAACATGAAAATCCAGAGATTCAATTTCAAAATGTTTACCTAAGGGATGGGTGCTGGACTATAGTTTGAATTGTATCCTTGCACACAGACTCCAGGAAGTATGTTGGTTTAGGAGAAGAGAAATAAGGAAAAAAACAGGCAGGCCTCCCTTCTCCTGGCCAGGCAGAGCAGAGATATTTTAGCTTAAACAATTGTGGCATCTTTGGCCTATGACAAGGATGAAGCTACTGACAGGCCCAGGATATTTCTGACTTTTAGCCAAGGCTCTCTGAAAAAAGCACAACTTTAAGATTAAATCCCTATCTCTGCTTCTTGGCTTTTTTAAGTGACAGGTAGCACAAAGACAGGTGTCTGTAGTCCTCAGGTGGGCACAGGAGTCATCCATCCTCTTACCATAAACTACCCTCCTTCTCTTCTTCTTTTGATTTTTTTTGAGACAGGGCTTCTATGTATAGCTCTGGCTGTCTTGTTGCTCGCTCTGTAGACCAGGCTGGCCTGGAACTCACAGAGATCCTCCTGCCTCTGCCTCCCAAGTGCTGGGGTTAAAGGCGTGCGCCACCACCGCCTGCTCAGATCACCATTATTAATGTTGCATAGGGTTGTCAGGTGATGCAGTTAGGCTCCATCAGACCTATCTACGGCACCTCACAGGTGCAGCTGTGGCTGTATTTGTGTTAATGTCCTGGTGCAGCTAGGAAAGGAAGTCCTTGCCCGCTGTGCATATCCAAGGAGTGCCAGCAAGAGGAAAGTAAGGGAGAAGTGGTATGGGAGTCGCTGAGCAAGGGAAACGATCCCATCTCTCTAGGAGCAGGCAGGGGTTCACATGGCTTAGTATTACAAGGCCTAGGCGGAGACCAGGAGGAGAACAAAGATCCTTTTAATGCATGGAGGTCAGAGGACAAGCTGTGGGAGTTGGAAACAGAAACCAGGTCCTAAGGCTTTGTGGCAAGAGTCTTTTACCCCTTTGGCCTCCTGGCCAGCTCAGCCTCCATTTTTATTTTAAGATTCTGTTTAAGACATCCCAGAGTTACCCTATAATCTCGTTTATTAAGAGAAGGAGAAAGGGGGGAGGGGACAGAATTCGTAGCTATCTTTTGAGATGTAATATTACAAGGCCAATACGAAGACAATCACGACTCTTCGAGAAGTCCACTCATGTCCTCATGCATGTCTTTCTTCTGACAGACTCTCCTGTTCTTAAGTTTTGAGCTTAAGCTCTTATGGAAATATCTTTAATAAATTCTTTCAGCTGGTTGTTGGTGGCGCACGCCTTTAATCCCATCACTCGGGAGGCAGAGGCAGGCGGGTCTCCGTGAGTTCGAGGTCAGCCTGGTCTACAGAGCGAGTTCCAGGACAGTCTCCAAAACAATACAGAGAAAGCCTGTCTCGAAAAACCAATCCCCCCCAAAAAAAAACCCCTTTCAGCTGTTTCATAAACTGGCTACTTTTGAAATTCCTTTCAGCGCTGAAGGCAAGAATCCTAGTTTAGCCTGAGTCTAGGTGCCTTGGGCTGCTGAGGATGGCAGGTGGAGCCTGTCACAGCCGACACTATGCAGTCCCAAACATTCCTCCCTCAATCAAGTCCATCCACACAGGACTTTGTGCTTTGGAGCCAGACGATTCCACCTTTTCCATTTTTTGGCATTCCTGGGCTGAAAAGTTCCCAGTTTAGCACAGCTACTTCATGGGAAGTCTCTTTATTTTTGTAAATTCTCCAAACTGGAATTCTTGGCTGGGTCAAGAATTCTCTCTACTATCGAGTATTGGGGACAAATATTGAACAACTTAATGCCATCAAGTTATATATGTGGGCCGGACGTTGGTGGCGCACGCCTTTAATCCCAGCACTCAGGAGGCAGAGGCAGGCGGATCTCTGTGAGTTCGAGGCCAGCCTGGTCTACAAAGTGAGTTCCAGGACAGCTTCCAGAGCTACAAAGAAACCCTGTCTCGAAAAACCAAAAAAAAAAAAAAAGTTATATACGTGGATCCACTGTGCCTGAAATTCATGCACCCAGAAGCCCTGCCCAGGTGTGTGTGGTGTGTGTGTGTGTGTGCATAGTGAAGTTAACGGAGGGTAATTCAAGTCACTCGAAAGGCCACAGGTCGACCTAGCCCGGGGGACAAAGGCCGAGTGTCGCTCGCTCTCTCGGGTCGATGCACGTGGCACGCCCTTGCTTACAAACAAACGGCAGATCGCGGCGCATGCGCCATTGGCCCTGCCGGGGGAGGGGGGGCGGAGCTGCTCACAGGCCTAGGGCGCGTGCGCCGAAGTCTCGACTGACGCTCCGCCGCCGCGGAGGCGACTCGGCTTTCGTCTGGGCAGCCGCGTGGTCCTGGGTGAGTGTTCGGCAGCCGGGCGGGCGGGCAGGGAGGGGTGCCTGCGCCTCGGGCTCCCTGTGCGGCCGAGGCCCCGCGCCGTGGGCGTCTCGCCTTCCGCCGCGGAGCCCATCGGAGCCACTGATGGGTTCTACAGCCCCCGGGCCGGCTGTCTTCCGGCGGGCTCACCTGCAGCCGGAAGTGACGCGTGGCGCACGCTCTCACCTGCGGGGCGGGGGCTGCCGCGGCGCCGGGCGGGCTCCTGGGTTTGTGAGTGGGGCTGGGCGAGCAGGGCCGGCCGGACGCTGTCGGGTCTGGATGGCGGTAATGGCGTCCCTCGAGGGTCGGAGTGGTGCGTGCCCGGCCCCTTCCGCCCCGATGCAGAGTTGAGTGGGAAGCGCTGGGCTGTGACCTGGGTTCCTCCCGTCGTGCGTCGTCTTCACCGCTGCCCCCGTCTTCCAAGCGCTCGTCGCTTTTCTCCCGATCAGTTCCTATTAGCCTTTGCCACACCACCTCCCGAAGCACAGTTGCCGCTTCTCCAGCACAGTGGCCCAGCTCGTCTTTGACGATGTTAACTGGGTCCCGCCCTTGTCGCTCATCTTAGAACGTTTTGAGAGCTGCTGTTTTCAGCGCTCTTTTTTACCCTCAGATCGGCGCGACTTGGCCCTTCTTGCCTGCCTGTTCTCAAAACGGTGCTTACTTACAAGTAACTCTCCAGACCCTAATCCAGCCCGATTGTGGCCACACAAATCCCAAGACGATGTTTGTGTTCCCAGCCTTGTGAGTCTGGGATGTGTCTGAAGCGATTCTGTAAGGTTTAAACAAACAGTGAGACTACAATCAGCTATCTAACTTCTTTACAAACAAGTTCTCACCGTGTTCCAGCCTCTTTCACTATCTCATTGCAAGATATTAACTCTTCAGTGAGCTCTTTTCACTATCTCATTGCAGGATATTAACTTTTCTGTTAACTCTTGATTAAATCCCATTCATTCCCTTCCTTCACGGTTTCACCAGCGTCTCTTTTACTGTAGAGTTCCGTACTTTCTTTTTATAGCCGTCCACAATTGCACTCGTATATATCTATACTAATGCCATTGTTTTTTAATGCCTGGCCTCCCGAGAGATCTAAACTGTGCACAGAGAGCTAGTGTGCCAAAGCCTTGTGTAATTGAGTCAGTCAGTAGCAGTTTGTGTGTGTGATTTATGTCACCTCTGAAACTGGAGCACTTCCATCAAAGCCTTCAAGTTCACGCCACGCCGCCCCCCCTTATAACTTTTCTGGCTATAGCTAGAAGCTAAATGACTTCTGCCCGCTTCCAGTTCCTTTCTGACTAAAACTAAGAGAAACCAAAAGCTCCGCCCACTGTGAACTCAGCTGCTTCGGTTGCTCTTCTTGGCATCTTCAATTTTTATCCCTTTGTTTCACACTCCCAACTGCGAGCATCCCGAGAACTGCTCATGCGCGAGACAGAACTGGGCGATGCTGGAGGTGTTGGCCATCCATGTCTTCACACACCTGCGGCGTTCAGTGCTGCTGTCCTTACAGGCGCTTGTCCCAGACCCTCATCCTTACACCTCGTCCTCACTGTGACTGCTGAGGAGCGTCCAGGCTTCTTCCCTATGGAGGGGTGCTCTCCGTGGTCCTCAGCTTCCTTTTGCATCTGTAGACTGTTACATCAAGAATCGCTCTGCAGCCAGAGGCAGATAAACGCGTGCCGTGTGTTCTGGTCATTTCTACGCGGGACCGTCCCTGGTTGCCGCACAGTTTTCTGTTGTCTCCTTATGTCCTCTCCACCCATCATATTACTTTGTTTTCTTCCCATATTTTTTCCCCTTCACTTTCCAACAAAACCATGCGTTATTTTATCACTACGTCTTTCTCCCCTCTGTAGCCAATGTTCTTAAAGCGTAGGTTGTCTCCCTGCTGACCTCAGACAGCCAGGTTTTCAGTGTTTGTGTCCTGTTACTTCACTGATTTGTTCATTCATTTCCCCCCTTTGTTCTTGTTGCTTGTTTTCAAATAGTGTGTGTGTATGTATATATTCAGGGTTTTCAAATGGGACTATATATACATGTATATATAGTCCACTGACAACAAGATATATATGTATGTATGTGTATATATATGTGTGTGTGTGTTTATTCAGGGTTTTCAAATGGGACTATATATACATGTATATATAGTCCACTGACAAGATATATATGTATGTATGTATATATGTGTATAAATATATACATATATATCTATTCAAGCTGGCCCTGAACTCACTGTCCTCCTGCTCCAACTTCTTAAGTGCTTGCTGGGATTACAGTGTGTGCCACCATGCCCAACTAGAAACTTCTTTTACCGGTGCCCATTGAGCTCTCAGTGTCCTAATCTACTGAATCCCGCTTTCCTTATGTCATCTACTCAATTCGTTTCTCTTACTCATTACCTTATTCTGTTTAAAAATTACATTTCTTCACGGGGTGGTGGTGGCACGCACCTTTAATCCCAGCACTCAGGATGGAGAGGCAGGTGAATCTCCATGAGTTCAAGGCTGGTCTGGTCTACAGAGTGAGCTCCAGGACAGGCTCCAAAGCTACACAGGGAAACTCTGTCTCAAAACCAACCAACCAAACAAACAAACAAACAAAAAAACCAAACAAGTCACGTTTCCTCAAAATGTTATTTGTTAACTTATCTTTAGGACTATAATAACACTATTGATAATTTTGGTTTACTTGATGTATTTTAATTTCTGAGTATGTGTATTTTGAATTAAAGCTTACAAGGCTCTGAACCAGAATTTCACCCTTCTGTGGGAGGGCAACTTTTCCTCTGAATGTAGTCAGAAAGTCCCCAAAGGGAGGAATATCCTCTTTTGATGCTAACTTTCACCATTCAGTGTTTACTGTTCTTCTTACTCTCCTCAGTGATGATCTCTGGCACCTGTCAGCTTTGGGACTTCTGCGGCTGCTTGCTCTTAGAACCGTGTCCACATCTGCCCAGCCCTTCCCCCTCCCCCATGAGCTGGGATTTGCATTCAGACCACACGGTTATCAGTGTTATGACTTGCAGCAGACTCAGCCGCTCGCCCTGCACCCCTTCAGCTTCCTGTCTGCTTCCTTTCTGAATCTTCTTGTGATTAAATTCACTTGTGACTCAGTCACCTAGGCTGCTTTATTTCAGACCACTCTCTAAGCCTGCCTTCCTTTCAGCAAATATTGAATGCTCCTCACAGTACGCCATGGCTCATCTCTGGTATTCTTGTCCTAGAGAAGGTGCTTGGTTCCTGTCCCTGAGCTCATGTGTCTAGTCCACGCTCCCACCAACTGACTGGTGCTGATTGGCTACTCTAGAAAGTGAGCCACCAAAGGCAGAGCTGCTCAGTCGTTGGCATTTTTATATCCTAGTGTTTGGTTGCTGGGGTGTTTTATTCCATGAGGAATGAGTGGGTTGCTGGGCTTGTGGGAATAGAATTTATGGCCATTTCTTAGTAATAAAGCTTCAGTGCCTAAAGAAAGTTTATTAGTCTTTCTACAACTCAGTAGAAAGCATGACTGTCTCTTGGTTGTAATACAGTGAGTATGTTCTCTTGTGAGCAGCTCCTGAGCATGCGGTAAGATGTGAAAGGTCTTTCCCCCTCACTGCTCCTGAAGCATCCTCTAGCTGTGGCAGCTGTAGAATGGGTCCTTTTAGATGTTCTGTATGCACTCTTTAACATAGATGCACGCCTACCATCGCCTACCATACCCATGGCCTTTTCACTCTACATGGCTTCTACCTACACCACAGTGAATAGCTGGTACCTTCGTGTTACCCTAGGCATTCTTGTGCCTGTGTGTGAGTGGGGCAGCCTCTGTCTCGTGACTTACATACCCTTGATGTGATGGTGGGGTGAAGCTGAGCATCTTCAGATGAGACTGCACTTTGAATTTGAGTCTTCTCAAGCTGGGTGGTATGTGGCCCACTTCTCTCTCAGTGATGCTGGGCAGTGGCAGTGAACTGCAGTTTCCACTCAGCCGCATGACCCTGGGGTGAACAACCAAAGCCAGCTGAAACAAGCCGAAAATAGTGTTTTGTGTTTATCTGGGATAAATGTCTAGAACTGGGATTGCTGGGAAAGGTTGGGTACATTTAAACTTTTGCTTGATATTTCAAAATTGACTCTGAAAAGACCTATACTAATGTATATTCCCACTAACAGCTTGTGAAGTGATTCTTTTTGCTTATAATAGTGTCTGTTGTGCCTGCCAGCCTGATAGGTGACAAGTGATATTGTGCATTAAAATTGAATTATTTAAAAAATTAGTGTTAAAAATTTTTAAGTACTGTCTCTTCTAACTTCCCCAGATCATTTCCACCTCTCTACCCTCCCAACCTAATGTTTTTCTCTCAAAAAATAAAACCGAGAAAATAAGAAACAAAAAACAAAAGTCAAAGTAGACAAACTAAAAACACATCAGTCAGATGAAGCAATAACAGAAGGAAAGTGCATGGGTCTGCTCTGTGTGCAGCCGCTACTCCCGGGCCTGGGCCTGCACTGCAGTGAGGTTGCGGGACCCAGTGACAAGCATTGAAGAAAACGGAGTTTCCCCCTTCCTAGCAGGCATTTTGCAAGTAGCTTCTTGGTTAGGGGTGGGATTTGTGTCTCCGTCCCCTTCTTAGAGCTGGGATTTTCTCTGGTTTCAGCCTGTGCAGGTTTTGTGCGTACGGTCAGTTTCTGAGTTCACGTGAGTGTCAGTCCTGCTGTGTCTGAAGACACTGTTTCTCTGGGTCGCCCACCACCTTTAGTGGAAACTTTCTGCTCCACATAGATCCCTGAGCCCTGAGGGTGGAGACTGAGAAAGACATGTGGAATGGAGCTCTCTCTTGAGGATGTTTACTTAGCCTTTGCGATTCCCGTATGCTCCATTTGCTGGGTGGGTGTCCAATGTAGAAGTTTCTGCTGCGATTCCTCCAGAAGGTCTCGTTGCTGATGCTGTGCAGCACAGTTGGCCGTGCCACTGTAACATAGGCATTAGTGTCACAGCCCATCAGCAATGCCAAGTGGAAAGGCAGCAGCTGGTCCTTTCCCCTGCCTTAGAACGTTCTGTGGGTGTCCCTCAGGATCAGGCTGCTGCTGGCTTTCTCCACCACTCTCTCTTGCTGCTGTTACTGTATTTATTTTGGTGAGTTTTTCTTGTTTATCGTCATTTGTACTCTTTAAAGAAGTTAACGCTTGGAAACTTGAATTTACTTACTTGGAAGGTTATTAATGTTTTGAGAAACCTTACATTTAACATATTTAAGAAATTGTATACTGATCAATTCTATATAACCAAAAGGCTCATTAGTGTTTTTCTTTTCCTTTTAGATAGTTTGTAGAGGATGCCCTATGAGGACATCCCCACCTCACCTCAGCCTCAGGAGCAAGACTGTTCACCAAGTCAGCATGCCGGTGCTAGCGAAGACTTGCCGGTTGGGCAGGAGAGTGGTGGGGACTCAGAGGCTGGGGCGTGCCTCTCTCCTTCCCTCGAGGAGTATGGGCCAGCCACATCTGCTGAAGCCTGTGTGTTGGCCGCCACGAGGCGGGGCCCAGGCCTGCTACACATCGATCGGCATCAGATCCCCGCAGTGGAGCGCAGTGCTCAGGCCCCGGAGCTGCAGGGCCTGGGTGTGGACGTCTATGACCAGGCTGTCCTGGAGCAAGGCGTGCTTCAGCAGGTGGACAGTGCCATGCTCGAGGCCAGCCGTGCCGCCCAGTCTGCTGACGCGGAGAAGGAGTATCAGTCAGTCCTGGATGACCTCGTGTGAGTGCCGGCCTTCTTTTCTCAGGGTTTTATTGAAACAGGACGGGAAAATCAAGGTAACAGAAAGCCGAGATCTCATTTGGGAAACAGAGCTGGCTAGGACAGTCATCGGTTTGCATTTTGAGCTCCTGTCCCTCCCTTCAGGGACGGCATTGCCTGTAGTTAGGGGCTCAGATCAGCTACTGAATCCTGTCCTGGCCTAGGATCTTGAAGAGCAAGGCTGCTCGAAAGCGCTTGTGGAGCGCTCTTAGGAGATAAATGGGAGAGTTCCATACTGGGACACCAGGGAGACTTGTCACCCGTCATCACCTTCCTCTCTCTCCTGTAGTTCATAGTTTGCTGTTCCCAAACCTCATGTTTATTCTTTTGGCAGTTTTTCATGTATAAAAATATTGAAAATAAACTCCTGTCCTTTATTTCCTCTGTCCTATTTTTGGCTCTGAAGAAAGATTCAGTCTCTGGAGACTTCATTTGTCTTACAGAGAATGGCACTAGTACTTATGCTTCTAACCTGTTCGTCGCTCTGAAGAGTGCACTCTGCTTTAGGTTTCTGATGTTTCAGATCATAAGTAAAATAGGTGCATTTTTACCATTTTCTCTACTTTTTGCTATGAAACGTTACCATGGAGAAAAACAGGTAATTCTTCTTATTTTTCAGGTCATGTACAACATCCCTGAAGCAAATCAATAAAATTATAGAGCAACTTGGCCCTCAAGCTGCCACTAACAGAGATGTCAACAGGAAACTAGATTCTGTAAAACGACAGAAGTATAACAAGGTGATGCTAAATGACTGCTAAGAACTACATTATAAAGGTTGTAATTCGAGATCATTTAACAGTTTAGGGAGTAACGCGTGTTAGTGAAACGATGCTATAATAGAGAAACATTTTTTAAAAGGTTTATTTTTAAGTGTATGCGTGTTTTGCCTGCATTTATGTCTGTGCACCATGTATGTGCCTAGTGCCTGCAGAGGCTAGAAGGGGACATTGGATCCCTTGTCACTCGAGTTACAGATGGTTGTGAGACACCATATGGGTGCTGGGAACTGAACCTGGGTCATCTGTAAGAGTAGTAATTGCTCTTAATCCTTGAGCTACCACTAGCCTTACAATAGAAAAATTTGGGGTGTCTTTTATATGTGTGATCTGACAACTCTGCTGTGTAGTATTTTTAATAGCCCATATATATAGACACAAACCTGTGTCCTTACAGACACACACCTGTATAATACAGACACACACCTGTGTACACACAGACACACACCTGTGTCCTTACAGACACACACCTGTGTACACACAGACACACACCTGTGTAATACAGACACACACCTGTGTAATACAGACACACCTGTGTAATACAGACACACACCTGTGTAATACAGACACACACCTGTGTACACACAGACACACACCTGTGTAATACAGACACACACCTGTGTCCTTACAGACACACACCTGTGTACACACACACACCTGTGTACACACAGACACACACCTGTGTACACACAGACACACACCTGTATCCTTACAGACACACACCTGTGTACACACACACACACCTGTGTAATACAGACACACACCTGTGTACACACAGACACACACCTGTGTCCTTACAGACACACACCTGTGTACACACAGACACACACCTGTGTACACACAGACACACACCTGTGTACACACAGACACACACCTGTGTAATACAGACACACACCTGTGTCCTTACAGACACACCTGTGTACACACGTGTGTGTACACACCCATCCGTACGCACTCGGGAGTAGCTCTTTTGTGGTCTTGCATGCTCCCTTACTTGTTTGCTCTTTCGTGGTCTTCCCTGTCACACTTTTGCTCTGCCGTTCCAGCCTCTGATTGGGATCTGGCCTCTCATTCAGTCCCTTTGTCTTGTCTGGACTTTTCTGTCCTGCTTAGGTCTTGCTCACCCGAGAGTCTTCCCTTTGTTTCCTGTGGATGCAGCCATCACCCCTCACAGGCTCCATCTCTATCTCCTTTGGGTATAGTCAGCACACCCACATTGTGGCTGCCTTTAGAGGGTAGAAAGGGTCTCTTACCTAGGATCCTGCTTTTTCTGAGGCGTGAAACTTTAAAGAGTAGGATTATATACATCCTTGTGAGAATTCCCTTGGTAACTAGGGGTGACTGGTGTTGATGGCTTCCGTTCTCTGCTTGCATTGATTCTTTGTAGCACACGACACACTTGTGCTCTTAAGTCCCATGTGAAGGCTGTGTGTAGACTCAGTTCATGTATTTTCCATGTCCTAGTCCATTATTCCACCCAGACGGCAGAGCTGACAGCAGTTCAGTGCAGAGGGAGCCTTCATAAATCAGTAAGGGGACATTTGGCTTCTTGTGGGTTGGGATTTTAAGGGTGGAGAAGACCAAACTTTAGGTGACTGGGTCATGGTGTGACCTAATTAAATTTCCCCATCTTTCTTTAGCAAGACTTTGGTGTCTGGGATTTTTCAGGGGAAGTTTTTTTAAAGTAGGCTGTTCTTGCCGAGAAGAAGACTGAGAAAACAGCAACCGCAGGTCATGGTAGCATGCTGCTGCTTGTGTTCACCATTGTTTCCCTTGCCCCCACCCCAGTGCTAAAGATCAAACCCAGGGCCTTGTGTGTGCTAGGCAAGAGCTCTTTCTCCATGAAGACCGTTGAAGCACTTAAGTCTGGTTAATCGAGAGGCTTTAGTTCTGAATTCTGATAATGTCAAGGGTCAAACAAGGAGTCTGAGGTACATGGGAAAAAAAAGGTATAACACCATGTCTTCAAAGTTTTTGAGGGGGTAGAGTACTGTAAAGGATGCCGTTTGTGGCCAGTTCTCAATGGGCATCGTTTTTAACTGTTTAAGAGTTTGTATTTTTATTTCTTATCATACCAGACTATTGCATGCCATAACCTTTTGGCTGCCAGGGTCAGAAACACAGTTTAGTGATGTTTCTAGAGTGTAAAGTGGGAACCCAGAGAAAATTTCCACCTCCCATGTCAGTCATACGATCTCAGTGCTCAGGCCCAAGAGTGAGTGCGGCCTGTGCTTGTGGCTGGCTGCCCAGGAACACTCAAGGCTAGCGTGCTGCAGGACAGTGGGATTGCTCAGATATGGCTCTCTAGTGATGTTACTGTGTGGGGTTCTGTTTCCTGTTTATCTTACTCTTGATTAAAGTTTTAAACTTTTGTGGTGCAATCTTTCTTATTTAACAATAAATCACTGTAGTTTATATCTTGTGTTTGGGGTTTACAATTCAAGGAACAACAACTAAAGAAGATAACTGCAAAACAGAAACGTCTCCAGGCCATCCTCGGAGGGGCCGGGGTCCAAGTAGAACGGAATCATGCCAGCCTGGAGGAGGAAGACGCAGGTGAGGATGCTGGGGACATGTGCCATGCTCTCAGTTGATGCTTGGTGCCTGTGTTTAGGCAAGTGCTGGGTGAGTCTTTCTGAGTTTTGAGAGTAACGCATTGCTTTCCTTCGTGTCAGATGGGCCTGGGGTATCTTGTCCTCCTGCAGAGTATCGAGTACAAGTGACAGGAGCTTGTAGAGACTGAAATAAAATGTTAACCTGGGTTCTCTGTCTGATGCATAGTTAGTGGTAAGCTTAACAGATTGGAAATGTAACTATTCTTATGTGTGGTACTTGATAAAGGGAACTAGCATTGTGATTGAGTACATTTTGTAATCCCAGCATCGTCAGGCAGCTCTGTAGATGCTCTCACTGTCCAGCATCGTCAGGCAGCCTTCGTAGAATTGCTCTCACTTATCTTTAAGGTGCATGGTGGACTTTCCAAGTATTGGTTCTGTTAGGGAAAGACTTTCAGGTTAGACCATGGCCAGGATTCCTTTAAAGTACTCTTCAGAGTGGTTGTGCTTTGGAAAATTTCTTGGAAAAAATGTATAAACTCTGGACTAAATAGTTTTTTCTTTGTGTTTGTATTTTCACACTGTTGGCTGTTGCTTGACCAGTGCCTGCTTGAAATGTAAAGACTGAAGCTTAGACTTTAGCTGATGAAGCAAACATTTTCTGTTGGCTCCTAGAATGTTTTCTTCATGTAGACAAGAGGATTGATGTAACAATGGACAACAGAAAACAATGATAAGTGTCCTTTCCTCCCCATCTCTCTCTTAACAAGATCTCCCTGTAGTCCAGGCTAGTCTCAGAATTGTGATCTGCCTGCCTTGTGTGAGTCCTCACTGCTGGCCTTACATTAGAGTTCGGTCTCGTGTAATCCATTAGTCTTAGGTAGTGCTTTCTGCCACTTGGGCCCCAGCTCTCCCACTAGAAAGGAAATCTATTCTGTCTGTTGTCGAAAGCCGACTGGCTTTAGTTCTCTTGATGGTTTAAGAAAGCTGGGTGCAGAGGTGATAGATAGCTCCCCATCCTGAAGCCTCCTTTCCCCTCTGCTGAGTTCAGCTGTTGACAGCAGTGGGTACTGCCTGTGCCTTGAGAGGGTCAGACCCCTGTCTCCTGGCTGCTTTTCTGCCCTCTGTTAGTCCTGGTTAGTTATTTTGGTTAGCTTATCCAGCAGTATCTTAAATGCTGATATTGCTTGTTCAGTGCTCCTGCTCGGTTCCCTCTGCCTGGCTAGCTCATCCATTTCCCGTGAGTTTTACAGTAACCTAGGATCTGATGTCTTACAGATCTGTAGCCCCTCCACCCCCCCCCCCTTTTTTATGAACTCGGGGTTCCCAGGATACTTTTCCATTTGACCACTAGCCATCACTGCAGATTGGTTCTTCTCTTTGTCCTTGGCCTATCTGCAGAGACCATAGAGCTGAATGCCAGAGTGGCCAGGCTTTGGGGTCCAACTCTGTATTGCTGGGTGTGGACCTCTCTCATCCCATCAGGGTCAGGGAAGTGTGCTGCCCACATGCTTCCCTGAGGTCTTTCCATGCGGTGACTATGAGGCTTGAAAAGCAGTCCTTTCCTGGATGTAGGTGAGACAGATTACAGACAGTCGCCTGGCTTTGCCCGTGTGATCTGGAGGGCAACAGGCATGCTTGCTCACCTTCTCTTGTTCAGCAGCAGCCTGGGTACTGGAGGATAAAGGTGGGAGAGAAAGAATCCATCATTCTCCATAGCCCTGTGATGGCTCATATAGGAGAGTCCAAAGAATCTATGTGGAACCACCCCATGGCTTTTAGTAATAGCGTTGACTATGTAGGGCATAGAAATTAGTAATTTTTGTATGCCAGGAAAAATGAAAGATAAAACTTAATAAAGGTGCCAGTTGTAATCCAAGAATCTAGAAATAGATCTTAGTAAAAATGGTAGTTCTGCAATGTCTTAAACACATAACGTTATTGACAAAGAGAAACCCCAGTAAATGGGAAGATGCTGTGTGGTTGATACAGGGTTATAAAGATGTCATTTCTAGCCATTTGTAGTTTCAGTGCTACCCCAATACAGATATGAGCCTTTTTTTTTTTTAAATAGCAAATGGCATGTTGTATAAGACATGTAGGCTGAAGGTAGAAGCCATTAACAAGCTGATGCTAAAATCTTCAATCTCAGCTTCTGGGCGGCTGAATCAGGAGGATTGCTGTGAATTTGAGGCCAGCCTAGCTTACAGAGTAAGACCTTATCTAACCCTTACCCAAGAAAAGAGAAAAAACACGATGCCAAGCTCTATTATAAAACCATGGTGATTAAGACTGTGTGGTATTGGCATACGGCTACTCAGACAGGCCGATGGATGGAGTAGAAGATTTAGGAAACAGGCCCACCTATGTATAATCACTTGGATTATGACAAAGATGGTAAGCAGTGCTATGGTGAACAGTCTGTTGATCAATGATACTAATCTACCTGCAAATAGAATTAAATAGAATTAATCTTGACCCATTACATTGTGTATAAAAATATATCTCAAACAGATCATAGATCTGAATGTAATGATGAAAAGCTTTGAGAACATAACACAGGGAAAGCATTATCACGATCCTGAGGGTAGGGGAGGCAAAGACAGAAGCTGGACCAAGATGGCGTTTAGACTGGGAGAAGGGAGTTGCAGGTAGGTGGGAGAAGGTATGTGTAGAATATGCAAAGGGCTTGAATTTATAATGCATAAAAAACACCTAGGAAAAAGGTTAAAGACAGAAAGTAAGAACAGAGGGTTCATGATTTAGCACACAAAAGCAGTTATCCATAGGGCCAGTGGATCTGAAAGGCCTTCTGTCTTCAGTGGGAGTCAGTGAAATGATGGAATGGCAAGGATGTGGGCCATTTAGAACTCTCCAACACTTGGAAATGAAGCTAGTGCCTCCTGGCAAATCTACTCAGCAGTGTCTACTAAAGCTTAACATACTAAAGAATTAGATGCACCTTGCTACCAAAGGACGTATACCAGAGTATTCATGGCAGCCTTCTTCTAAAATCTAGCAGCCCCAACATGGACACCACCCAAACTACGTTAATAGTAGAAAGAGGAAATTGTAGTACAATCACAGAATAGTAGTAAGTTCAACTCAATTTAAAAAGTCAGTGTGGATCTCATATGAGAATACCAGTCATAGCTGGCAGACGTAAACACAGCCTGGAATGAGTCATCCTTAGAGTCAGGTCTGTCAGTATCTCAGGAGGCTGGAGGTTGACGGTGGCATGGAGGGTGCTCCAGGAATACTAGTAATTTCTACTACTTCATCTGGATGCTGATATATAACTGTAGATCTTGTTTTTGTGTGGATATTTGTGGACCTTATGATTTGGATATTCGGATGTATATTTTATTGCAGTGCAAGATTGGTGGTGACATTGTCCTGGTAGGCTCACTCTTTCTTTCTTTCTTTCTTTCTTTCTTTCTTTCTTTCTTTCTTTCTTTCTTTCTTTCTTCCTTCCTTCCTTCCTTCCTTCCTTCCTTCCTTTCTTTCTTTCTTTTTTGATTAAGATTAGTGGTGACATTGTCCTGGTAGGTTTTTTTCTTTCTTTTCTTTTTTTTTTCTTTGTGGATTACTTGATAAAGTATTTTGCTGCAGGTCAGCTTCAGTTAGTGAGAGGGTTAGTTTCTGGGTAACTATACTTGGCATATCTTCATGTTTAGTTCATCTTTTCATGTTCTTCACATCACATGTCTAGCATGGTGCCATCCAGTAGATCTCTGCGTGTGAGGGGTGTGTGTGTACTTGCATATGGAGATCAGAGAGGATATCAGGACTTCCCCCTGTCATTCTCTACCCTGTTTCTTGAGACAACGTTTCTCATTGAATCCGGGGCTTGCTGTTGGAGCTAGGCAGTGAGCCTGCAGGATCCCCTTGCCTCTGCTCTGATGCTGGGGTATAGCACTTGTGACCATGCCTGGCTCCCATGGGTACTGAGGAGTTAAACTTACATCCTCATGTTTTCATAGCAAGCCGTCTTCCCAGCTCCTGATGGACCTTTCTGCAGTGAGGGGAATCTTTTTGTTGGTCAGTGTGCTGGCCATTAGTCAATATAGCTATTGAGCACTCACTGTATCGCAACCGTGGAATCCAGTTTTCCCGTACTGGAAGTGAGCCAGGCATGTGTCCTGTGGGCCACATGCGTCCCAGGGTAGCTAAGAATGCAGCCCAACATTCGTAGATGCCGGTGCCTTGCGGCACTGTCAGAAGGTTAGGCAGTCTGCTACAAGTGACTGGTGGTGGCATGGAGACAGTGCAGAGTTAGTACTTTATGGCTCTGTTAGGTAGGCATGCTGACTCCATGAACTGAGATCCATCTGAAAGCTGGCCAAAGCAATGATACGGAAACGTGGGGATCGTTCTCATGGACTACTTCTTAACTGATAAGGAAACAACTAACTTGTCTATAGCCAATAACGTGTAGGTGAGTCTGCCTTTGTACAGAGACTCTGACTGTCGTACACTTTTTATTCGAATTCAAAGTAAGACAAAAGAGCTAGTGTGTAGTCAGGTAAACATTTAGTGTATTTGTGAGTGTTGGGATATTTAGTGCATATGTATTGTGCAGTGTAAATTAGGTTAAAAATAGCCGTCTTCCCAAACATTTGCTTTTTTTAAATGGTGAAAACATCTGGAACCCTATCGCAGCTACTGACACTCACTGGCTGTAGTGTCTGCACTCCTCCTGCTGTGGGATGGCCCTGCAGACTTGTGCGTCTGTTTGCCTGGGGTCGAGTCCCATGGGTCAGCCTCTCTGTCCTCCCCAGGGTTTGTCTCAGCCCTTGATGGGCTTCCGTGAGGCAGCTCCTTTAGACCCCACAGACGAGGGGAGCACACAGGACTGCCCTTCTAGCCTGGCGCTCCATTTCCCAGTCTCCAATTCTGTGTTGCAATGGGTATAATAATTTCAAAATCTTTTGGAAAAATGGCTGCATAGTGTTCCGCGGTATACCTGTACCTTAGTGATACGGTGTCATATTTTGGGGACGGGTCACTGAGAAATTACCTTTTTAAAGAGGAATATATTACACGTGGGCTGTAGATGCCATAAAAACCTTTGCTCTGTGCTTTGTCCACTGATGTATTTTGTGAGCTATTGGGAGTTCTTACTGTCTGTGAATGAGTGATTGTTTTTGAGTTTTACTTGAGTCTTCATGTTTCCCTTTCAGAGCCGGGGCCATCATGCCTTGGCAGTATGCTCATGCCTGCCCAGGAGGCCGCCTGGGAAGAGCTTATCCGCACTGGCCAGATGACACCGTTTGGTACCCCGGCTCCGCAGAAACAGGAGAAAAAGCCTAGAAAAATAATGCTCAATGAAGTATCAGGCTTTGAAAAATACTTGGCTGACCAAGCACAACTGTCTTTTGAAAGGAAGAAACGAGCTGCTCACAAAAGAGCAGCTAAGAAAGCTGTGGGACCAAATGAGATCAAACCAGGCCAGACTGGCCGAGGCCTCTCCCAAGCAGATGAGCGCTTGAAGAAGCGTATCAGGAAGCTCCAGAAGAGGGCGCTGCAGTTCCAGGGGAAAACGGGACTGTCCCGGGGGAGGAAACCTCTGGAGCCCGAGGTGAGGCCCGAGGCAGAGGGAGATACAGAAGGGGAGGCGTCTGGGGAGGAGGAGGAGGAGGAAGAGCAAGAGGAGGAAGAGGAGGAGGAAGGGGTGGCCAACCTGTCTTCCGATGACGTCAGCTATGAACTGAGGCCTCTGCGGAAGGGCCGGAAACACCAGAAGAAAGTCCCAGCGCAGGCGGTTGATGATGACTTTTTCCCAAGTTCTGGGGAAGAAGATGAAGCTGTGGAAGGAAGAGGAGGTCGCAGGGTGGCGAGATGCCCAGATGACGGCAATGAAGAGTACTATAAGCAGCGGCTAAGGTTAGTGCGGGCTTGCGGCACGTGCTGGGTTCGGAGGCGGCCTTTTGACATTGTAGATCCGTGTTGCACCAGACACCCCTATGTGCAGAAGCTGGGCTTGCTGCAAGCCTTAGCCGCGAGAAGCGGACGCGGACTCCTTAGTGGAGTCTTTATGCCAGAGGCTGGTCTGGGATGCGGAGCCGAGGGGAAGGCTGGACAGGAGCTCAGAGGTCTTTACTCAGAGTAGTCACGGTGCAGGCCGTGTCGGAAAGGAAAGTGCTTCCCTGCCTTTGGTTTTCTCCTTACGAGGTAGGCTATTCTTTCAGAGAAATTCCCTTCAGAGAAAGCTGAAGCGCGCTGACTCTCAAATCCCCCTTCCTCGATTTTGAGGAAATAGTTGTCTACAGAATTATAGCCCACCATACTGCTGAAGATGAAAACCCTGTGCCCGGCACGGCTCCCCTTGCTACCCTTTGACCTTGCTAAGACTGAGTTGACTTTTACCTTCTTTGTCAATGTGAGAGGAGGGGGGGTGAATGCCGCATGAAGTTACAGTCGCCCTCTCTGGGTAGTTTGTGTGAGCCAGGAAAAGCACTCCGTATCCCGACAGCACAAGGTTTCTATGTGAGCTCTGTAGGAAGTCTGCAGAGGTCAGAGGAGCAGGAACCCAGCATTTTTTAAATTAGTTACTATTGGGATGGCTTTGGCCAGTCAGCGGTGCTTTTATTTTCAATGAGAGGAGATCCAGTTGATAGTGTTTCCAGTAGATTGATTTCCATTGGCTCTCCTGGATGAAAGTTGACCTACTGATTTTCTTTAGTTCAGAACTGCTGTAACTGTAGTCCACGCTCCACATACGTTGCATAACCGATTCAGAGTTTCTTTTTCTGCAAGACAGCGTTTCTCTGTGTAGCCCTGGCTGTCCTGGAACTCACTTTGTAGACCAGACTGGCCTCTAACTCAAAGAGATTGGCCTGCCTCTGCCTTCCCATTGCTGGCATTGAAGGCGTGCGCCACCATGCCGTTTCTTAAAAATAACTCGAGGCCCAGTGACGCTGTCATTTTAGTAACTCCTTGTGTGGCGGTGCATTGATGGAGAGGGCCTTCCTTATGTTGTCATTTCTCACTATGACATTACTTAGTGTGCACACCTAACTAATAGTTGTAATGTTTGAAGAACACTGTCAATACTTTCAAGTAGTGAATAGTGTAATCTTTACTGCAGAAAATTAGTAAGTGTTAATCTTAACATATTGATTATAAATGGAGCAATATATAGTCTTCTCATTAAACTGGGTCAATATTAAATATATTTTAAACATAGCAATTTATTTTGATTGAATTTTAAATATGAATACAGTTTAATTTCATGGCAATAAGTTTTTCTTAATAATGTTAAGATTGTAAAACAATTTATTATTTCTAAAGCCATATCATAATCCTTTTTTTTTTGCTAAAGTTACAGCAAAATCTCAGATGAATTTTAGAAATATCAATAACTCTTAATTGCCACCAAAATACGATAGCTCTTAAAATTTTATAGCTAGTTATTAAGGCTGTTAAGCTGCAGATATACACATTGAAATGTTTATATTACATCTCCTTTGGTGCGCTTTCAATTGGGGGATGTTAAAAGAAAAGAAAATGCTAAGTATTGAGAAGCATATTAATGTTTGAAATTTGTCAGTCACTGAATTCTGTTATGTGTTGCTCATTTTATTAGACAGATTGAATTGTAGTAGTAGTCCTTGGACTGCAAAAGAACTTCAGGGTTGCTAATCATAGAATGACTAGGGCAATCCTAATAAATCCATAGTTTTCAGTGTAGAAAACATTTTTTTTAAAGTGGTTAAAATTTAAGCATATGTAACTAGGCTAAGAACTTCATATAGAATTTAACAAGTACAACATAGCTGGCTCCTTACAGTGCTGTTATACTCTTGGATGTGAGGGTAGGAAACTTCTAGAATGAACATCTCAGGCTGTAGGTTTTCTCAGCTTGAGAGTCATAGCCTTCTTTCTCACTAGCTCCTGGCTTATCTTTTCATCCCTCTTTGTTTAGTTCTCAACCTTCTAATGCTGTGACCCTTTAACACAGTTCATGTTGTGGTGACCCCCAAATGTAAAATTATTTTGTTACTACTTCATAACTGCAATTTTGCTACTATTATGAGTCATGATGTAAATATCTGATATGCAGAATATCTGATATGTGACCCCTGTGAGGGTTGTTGGACCCCCAGAGGGAGGGGTCTCGACCCACAGGTTGGATGCCCTGTAAGAATCTCTTAGGCCATTTCTGCGGTGTGACCTCTAGACGGCAGTCACGGTTCTCCTTTCTCTGATGTCAGTGTGAGATGGTCTCACCTTTGTGAAGTGTCCGCACTGACCCTTCCCGTGTGCGTCTTATCCTTATGCACCGAGATCCTCGGGTGGGACCTGGAGCTGCCTTAGATCCAGTCTGTGAATGCTCTAAGCAGGAGCTGCGCTTGGAGTCAGTGTTGGATGCTCTTACTCTTTCTGGAAATGTGCAGGTTTCCACTAGGGTTATCTCTCACCATGATGCTGGTGTTTCAGAGGTCTCCAGTAGATAGACTTTCTGGAGCTGATACACCGTCCACACTCTAATTATCTGTCCTGCAAGATGCAGATCCGCTTGTCTAGTCAAGCCTGGACGCTGGGGCCTGAGTGAACTTTCCCAGCACGGTGGCCAAGCCAGCTGTCCCTGTGCCTGGCACTTGCTACCTGGTGTTGTGTACTCACTTCCCAGTTGTGACAAGGAGGGCAGCATGTCTGTACCCAGGCTTTGAGGATGTCTGGCAGGGAGTCCATAGGCTGTTAGTGGACAAGCACGATCCACAGCCTAGCTGAGAGTGAAGGGAGGAGCAGTGAAGTTGGGTCGGGTGCGGGGGAGACTTGCTGGAGGACGTGCATTGCAGAGCAGGGAGGCCCTGTCTATTCACCAGCTCGAACATGTTGCTGTGGTCCTTGTGGTATGTGTTAAATTTGCCCCTGAGTCTCAAATGTGTCACCAGAAGGGAGATGCTTCATGGCAGTGACAGTAAGGAGACACAGCCCAACACTGCTACCTCTCAGTAAGTGACAGTAAGGAGATACAGCCCAACACTGCTACCTCTCAGTAAGTGACAGTAAGGAGACACAGCCCAACACTGCTACCTCTCAGTAAGTGACAGTAAGGAGACACAGCCCAACACTGCTACCTCTCAGGGATCTCACTCAGTTAAGTCAAACTCTTGAGTACACCACAGAAAAACATCCGAGGACAAGTCAGCGAAGCCAATTTAGCATGTTTAGAGTGAAGATACGGGGCCGTACACACTTCTCATTTCAGCATGATGGACAGAGATGTTTAAGCAAGCACCAGTGTCCCTGAGACATGCGTTTGGCTTCTCAATAGAGAGACGAGCCTTTAGGTGTCTTTGCAGTTTTTATGTATGTGGCTTTGTGGGTTTCTAAATTACATTATTCAGGGATACACTTTGTAAGGATTAAAGATTAAGTAGTTTAAAAATGCATGAATTGGTTTACTTATTTCTATAAAGAATTTCCATTTGTATATGAAGTTGTACTGTAGTTTGTGTAGGGGTGTGCTGTTTGTGTTTAAGGAGGAGGGAGGAATGTTGATACTGTTAAATCAAAGTTAAGATGCTCTGGCCTTGAGGAAGCATGGCTTATTTGTTCTTTATGTTTCTTGACTGTCAGCCAGAGGCAGCTGAGATTCCCGCCTGAGGGGCTTCTTTCCTTCCCGTGTCCCTGTAGTTTGTTTTCTTTCTGTTCTGCTTCACTTTGTGCCTTGGAGGCCAACAGCTCCTCAGCGTCTGATTTGTGTTCTTAGAGACGGGGTGATGGAGGTGATCTGTGGAGAGCACTGGTACCCAGCCCTCCCCAGCAGGACAGAAACTCAGCACCCCTGGTCCTGCCAGCTCCAGCCTCTGCGAGTGCTTGTTTGTTTTCCGGGCGATCTGGGCCTTCTCGGGGGCTGGGGAACAATGCTGTTGTCCATCAGTGCTGTCTATCCTGGCTCCACTGGGTGGTAAGGGACATCAGCATTCCTGCCAGCTCTTTAACCTGGAGATGGTAAACAGAATGTCCCTGGCTCTGCCCTCCTTCCCCAGCAGTAGTCAGCGCTGCTCAGATAGGGGCGAGAGCATGAACTTCCAGATACTTTTTGTTGTTGGTTTCTGCCGGTGGGAGCAGGGTTAGCATTTATCATTTACTCACACCCAGGAGCTCTTAGCTCTGTTCTGGCCAGCAGTGATTTAAGTTATCTAGCAAACTGCCTGTGCATCCTTAGTAAGGAGGAGACACCAGAGCAGAGCTTAGCAGCACACGGGCTGGATTTGCAAGACCACTGGGAGCTCTTCTTCCAGAGATGACTGTGCAGATCTAACATGGGAATTCCACCCCCGAGTTTGTCCAGGCGTGCCATGGGTGGCACTGCCTGAGCTGGAAACTTAAGATGTGTATGTTAGTTACTGTTTGCCTTGTTTTCCTACAATCATTCCTTGTGTGCCTTGATAATTGTGGGTGTGTAAGGGAGGGTCTGGGGTAGAGGAGAGTCTCTGCCATTGGGAAAAACTGGTAAGGACATTGGGCTTTGAGGTGCAATGCTTTCTCTGTTCAACCCTAAAGCAATATGACATTGCTTTTGAGCTAACCTTCCAGCCCTCACCTTCAGTCAGTCCGACGCAGGAGAGGCCAGAAGCATACTGTTTCAAGTGCTGATCTCCTCGGCCCATCTGGCACACTGGGCTGCAGCCTGAAGTTGGTTCCAGTTGATCCCCTGCTGGGCTTACAGGCTTTGTCTTGCCCCACTACTTTTTAATTGTAAATACATCGCAGTATTAAGATGGGGAAATCTTTACATATTTTTCTTCATTATTCCAGTCTTTGAGTTTGCACATGCATGTTTTTTCCTTGTTACAGTCATAGTGACCCTCACAAATACGTTATAATCAAAGTGCTCATGGTGTCACTGCTGAGCTCAGGCTGGAAGCTGG